ATAGCCTCAGCTGAGCCCACAGAGAGCAAATGGCTTCTCTCCCTCCCCTCCAGCGGTCACTCACTGAGCTAACAGCAGGGGCAGGATTAGAACCCACGTCCTGTTTACAGGCTCTCCCTGGTGGCTGGAGCCTAGTGTCTGCATCTGGAGAGCTCCGGCCTTTGTCTGAATGGTACACAGGGGCAGGGTTTGAAAAGGGCCTGACCTGGAATCAGCAGCAGTGAACAGAGCTGAGCGCCTCCTAGTGGAGTCATATCGCCACCAGGCGAATCCAAACCTTGGACCGCTGGAGCTTAGTATAGGAGCCTCTTCTCTCTGAGCTAAAAGCCAGCTGGCTCCCAGCCCATGCTGTACAGGTCTCTTGTTCTTAGCTGTTGCTGTGGTCTGAGTGCCACTGCAATGGGACCACACTAGGGCTGTGTCTACACTGGCACCCCTTTCCGGAAAAGGGATGCTAATGAGACACTTCGGAATTGCAAATTCCGCGGGGGATTTAAATACCCCCCCGCGGCATTTGCATGAACATGGCTGCTGCTTTTTTCCGGCTCGGGGTTTTGCCGGAGAAAAGCGCCAGTCTAGACGGGATCTTGTGGAAAATAAGCCCTTTTCCGGCAGATCCCTTATTCCTACTTTTCTGGAAAGGGGTGCCAATGTAGACACAGCCTAGGTGTGTGGGTTACACAAGAACCATCTAGATCGTCCCTGACAGGTGCCTGTTGAACCTGCTCTGAAATATCTCCAGTGATGGAGATTCCACAACCCCCATAGGCAATTTATTCCAGTGTTTAACCACCTGGACAGGTAGGAAGTTTTTCCTAATGTCCAACCTAAACCTCCCTTGCTGCGGTTTAAGTCCATTGCTTCTTGTCCTGTCATCAGAGATGGAGAATAATTATTCTCACACCTGCTTGTAATACCCTTTGAGGGTATGTCTACACTAGCTCCTTAATTCGAGCTAGGTAGGCAAATCAGGCAACCAGAGCAGCATAGTATTTCCGCAAAAAGCATTGATTTCTTACAGTAGGAAGTCAATGCTTTTGCGGAAATTCAAGCGGCCAGTGTAGACAGCTGGCAAGTTTTTCCGGAGAAGCGGCTGATTTTCCGGAAAAACTGGCCAGTCTAAACACAGCCAAAAAGTTTAAGAAACAATGCTCTAGGATTTTACCCCCAGCTGTGAGAGAATTTGTCCGCTCACCGGAGAGACTTCTGGGAAGGGCTCTGGAGGATCAGCAACACTCGAGTCCCTGCTGCCTGCATCCTAGCTGCAAAGTGGATCCAGGTCCCAGACAAAGCTCCAACCCACACTCCTGGTGGGACCAGCTGGCCTGGACTTAGGGCGCCTCTAAACCCGAGCCAGAGGGACTATACGGTGCCCAATAGGGAGTGGGGCTAAACCGGTGTCCCTGTGTTCTCCCCCTCTACCGACGATGATCCATGTGGTGGGAAGTGCCCTGAGGCTGAAAACGTGGGAGCTTCTGACCACGAGGGTCCTGGTAAATGATGCGTGGCAAACGTAGCTATAAGGCTCTGCTGTGCACTGTTACCAGGCCACGGCCCAGCAGTCACAACCGGCTTCCCAGGGACAAAAGTCTCAGCCGGAAATCAACTGGAGCAGCCCCCGGTAAGTGCTGGTTCTTCGGCAGGAGAGAGGAGCGGCTCCAGCCCCACCCGTCCAACCTTCACATCCCTACTCTCCATTCCACCAGCCAAGTCATTAATGAAACCACTGAATTAAGATTAGACCTAAGACGACCCCTTAAGAGGCCCCAGTGTACACGTCCTTCCAGTTTGACAGAGAACTACTGAAAATGTCTTAGTGTGGCCTTAGTATGGTTGTGAGGGCTTTGGCGGATGGGGTTGGAATTCGGGATGATCTGGACAAACCAGAGAAACGGTCTGAGGTCAATAGAAAGAAGTTTAATAAGGACAAATGCAAAGGACTCCACTTAGGAAGGAACAATCAGTCTCACACACACAGAATGGGAAGCGACTGTCTAGGAAGGAGTCCTGCAGAAAGGGATCTAGGGGGCAGAGTGGCCCACAATTTAAATATGAGTCAACAGTGGGGCACTGTTGCAAAGGCAGCAGACATGATTCTGGGCTGCATTAGCAGGAGTGTTGTGAGCAAGACACGAGAAATCGTTCTCCCGCTCTGCTCTGCGCTGGTTAGGCCTCAGTGGAGTATTGTATCCAGTTCTGGGCACCACATTTCAGGACAGATGTGGAGAAATGGAAGAAGATCCAAAGAAGAGCAACAACAATTAAAGGTCTAGAGAACATGAGCTAGGAGGGAAGATTGAAAGAACTGGGTTTGTTTGGAAAGGAGCAGACTGAGAGGGGACTTGACGGGGCTTTTCAAGTATCTAAAAGGGCGTCACAAGGAGGAGGGAGACAAATTGTTCCCCTTGGCCTCTTAGGACAGGACAAGCAGCAATGGGCCTGGATTGCAGCCAGGGGTTTTTAGGTTGGACATTAGGAAAAACTTTCTGGCTGGGTTAAACACTGGAATAAACTGCCTTGGGAGGTTGTGGACTCTCCACTTCCCACCAGGGAGTCGGGGGCGGTCCTGCCTCCTCCCCCACAGCAGCGTGGCTGGGACAGCAGGGCCACCTTGCTCTGCCCCCCCTCCCCACCTCTGCTTGGATTGCAGCCAGGGGTTTTTAGGTTGGACATTAGGAAAAACTTTCTGGCTGGGTTAAACACTGGAATAAACTGCCTTGGGAGGTTGTGGACTCTCCACTTCCCACCAGGGAGTCGGGGGCGGTCCTGCCTCCTCCCCCACAGCAGCGTGGCTGGGACAGCAGGGCCACCTTGCTCTGCCCCCCCTCCCCACCTCTGCTGGTGAGTGTAGGGAGCTGGACTGCAAGTTCCCTCTCTGGCTGCTGGCCGGCCCCTCCTGTCCACAGCGTTTGGGGGGGCGACTCCTCGTGGCCCCCCCTGCCTCTGATGAAGTGGGCTCCAGCCCCCGAAAGCTAATGCCCTAATCCAGGTGTTAGTCTGTAAGGTGACACAGGACTCCCCGTTGTTTCATCTTGGCAGAGAAACAGCTCGGGGCTCCCGTCTGCCCAGGCAGCCTGTCTACCTCCGCTGGAGATGCTGCTTAAAGAAGAGAAGAAACCACAGGAAGGGGGAGGAAGTGCCCCAGATACTCTCCCCTTCTCTCTCCCCACAGCATCAGCAACATCTGAAGAAGAAGGAAACAGCGTCGGATGGGGGGGGGGGGACCCCGATGGAAAGAAATTCAGCCGGTAGGTGGGTGAGAACATGTGGCCAGACTGTCGCTTTGAATTCACGTCACTCGTGAAGTTGGGCAACGAGGCGCCTTTTCCTTTTATTTTCTGTCACCAATTCGGACTAAAAATCTCTCTGCTGCGAGTGGTTTGGTTTGCTCTAAAGCAGCGTGTCGGAAGGGCTGGGGGAGCGGCCTGCGGGAAAGCAGGATTTGCGCGTATCGTTTTCTACTAATGACGGACGTGGCAGGCGCTGGTATCGTCCAGGAGGAAGTATGTAATTGCATCATCCCTTAACCTTCTCTTTGTTAAATTAAATAATTCAACCTCTTTGAGTCTATCAATATAAAGCACATTTTCTAGTCTTGCCCGGGTGGGGTGCACGTGTCGGAGGACAGTCCGGGTGGGGTGCACGTGTCGGAGGGCAGCCCGGGTGGGGTGCACGTGTCGGAGGACAGTCCGGGTGGGGTGCACGTGTCGGAGGGCAGCCCGGGTGGGGTGCACGTGTCGGAGGACAGTCCGGGTGGGGTGCACGTGTCGGAGGGCAGCCCGGGTGGGGTGCACGTGTCGGAGGACAGTCCGGGTGGGGTGCACGTGTCGGAGGGCAGCCCGGGTGGGGTGCACGTGTCGGAGGACAGTCCGGGGGGGGGGCAAAAGGGCAGAGGAATGAGGGTTCCAGGTGTTACCCTGGGCGATGCCGCTGATCCCAGGTTAGCTGGAGGACATGTTCCGGCTTTCCCCAGACCCGGGCTACCACTGTAACCATGGGGCGAAGTGTCCTAGCTGGGCCCTCTGACACGGATCCACGGGGCGGATGTCTTGAGAACCCAGAGAGGATTTCACCAGCCACCCCTCTCCCCACCCATCCTTCCCCTCCGGACACAGCGCCAGAAAGGATGCACCAAGCAGCTAGCAAGCCCCGGTTACAGAAGGGGCTATTCCTCCAGCACTGATACCCTCTGTGCCCTACACCCCCAGGGCGGGTTAAAAGAAAGCAGGACCTCGGTCTCCTGCCCTTTGGCAGAAAGAAGCCCAGAGATGCCGAAGGACCGGGATTCAGCCCAGACAGGAACAGAAGCGTTTCCTGTAGGTGCCCAGAGTCGGGCATAGAAGCGGCGACTTCCCTGCTGGATTTAGACCCACGTCCTCTTCTCCGGCAGCAGGGGCCCGGCTCCTCCAGGAGGGGCCCCTGTAGGCCACGGAGGTTTTCAGGCCCGCAGCAGTGACAGGACCCGGGGCGGCGCCTGAGCCGGGAAGCAGAGATGAGCCCACACAGCAGCAGTGAGACTGGATTTTTCATCCCCCTGGCCCCGTCTCGTGGGGTCTTGGGAGCGGGGCCTTTGCGGGGCCCAGGAGTGAGACAGGGGTCGCCGCCCACCAAGGGGAACACCGCTGCCCCGTCACCAGGGCACGCATCCACCCTCCCGACGGCCAAGAGCCTGAGCCCAGCCTGGGCGTCTGGCCATGCTGCTGGGGAGACAAGGCAAGGCCCGGGCCTGGTGGGGTTAGCACTGCAGTGTGTGTGTGTGGGAGGGGGGTTGCCAAAGGCCAGGCAGGCTCCCTCTCAGACCCGAAAAGCTGGGTCCCGGCGCGGGGAGGATGCTGCCAACGTGAACTAATCCAGGCGGTAACATGGGCCTCGGGGGGGGGGGGGAGACACAGAACCCCAGCGGGGCGCTGCTCGGAGCAGGCCTTTCCCCTTCTGCCTTGCCGGGCTGTGCACGTTCACTGGCGCCGCGGAGGGGGGTCACCAGAGCTGGGGCTTGGTAGGTCCAAGCTGGGGCCGACGTTGTAGGAGCCTCTCCCAGAAGCATCCCGGGGAGGGCGAGGCAGGGTGGAAGGGCAGTGTCTCTGATTGGGCGGTTCTGGACGGGGAGGAAGCCAGCACTTTCCCCAAGGGACCTACAAGCGAGAGGATGTATTAGCCGTTACCTGGGGAGACGAGAACAGACTGGGCCCCCCAAACACCCGTGCTGGAAACCTATGGGAGACCTCAGGGGCAGCTTCCACTCCGGGGCGAGGGCGAGCTCCAGAAATATTTGCAACCCGGCAGCTTGGTTCCACAAAGGGTCCCATGGCCCTGCGGACCCCAAGAGAAACCTTGGTTCAGAGGGGCTGGGAGCTCTGAAGAGCCCCCTGAAAGAGAGGTCCAGGGGCACCCATTGCCAAACTCTGGGAACGTCCCAGGACGTCCATCCCCAGGTGACAAGGAGGCCCAAGAACCCGCCTAGATCTCGCCTGGGACTAGTGGTCTGGAGTTCTCCGACGCCCGGGGAGCCCCAGGACTCAGAGTCAGGAGTCCCCCGAGCACAGAGCTCCGAGTTCCCAGGTGAATTCGTTTCCCCTTTACCTGGAAACGCCAGCGGCGCCTTCCTACAGCTTGAGAGCTGTCACGCGGGGGATGTGGAAGGGGTAGGTCTCCTCCGAGGCAGTAGAGCTGGAGAAGGTGGGAAGAAAAGGAGGGCGCATATGGGAGAAGCCAATATTATTTCCGTTGTCCCCTGGCAGCCAGATCACCCCAGCGGAGGCAGCATTACGCTGGTGGGTAAAATGACCCCCCCCTTTGTAGAGGCCTTCAGGCGCCATAAGACACCCCAGTAACGAGGGGCATGGAAGATCTCAGAGAGCTGAGCTCGGACAGCCCTGGCCAGGCCGTGCTTCGGGATGGCCGGGACCCATTTATCCTTCATCTGACTTGGGCACCGGAGTTCCTGGCTCTCTCCTAAGGGGGGAGCTGAGTGCTGGGCAAAAGAGCTGACAGAGCCGTGCAGCACTTAGCCCCCGTGCGCAGTGGTGCACAGAGCACACGCAGGTGCAATGCACGGGGAATGGCATTCACCGTTAGCCAATGGGGCCGGGGGCTACGGGAGGAGCTGCGTTCAAGGAGGAGCCCTCGAGAGCTGGGACATGCGCACAAGGGGGCAGAGTTTGGGGTTAACCCTTTCTAGGCCAGCCCACCCAATGTCATGGCACCTGGGGACAGGAAATAAGACCCCTGCATTGTGCCCCCCGCAGGTTGCCCCGGGAGCTGTCGCTGCTTCTGAAAGCAGGCGAAGCCCTGAGCATGAGCAAGAACTCGCTGCCCTCGGGCCCCAGGGTGCCGGCAGCAGGACCCCCGGGCTCAGAGGTCCATCCAGCGGGCCCCGCAAGCCCAGGGCCAGAGCAAAAGCAAAGGAAGCTGGATCTGGCTCCCGCTTTGCTCCCTCGGCCCCGGGTCTGTCTCTTTGGCTGGAGGGAAGTACCCCAGTGCTGCCGGACGCCCGCAGATCGTCCACAGAGACGCAGGAGGCCTTGGGGGGCATGTGCCAAGGGGGTGCCCTGCTGAGCCTGTTGATGGGGCAGTTAAATGGAGTAGGTCTCAGATCGCGCCTACACGGCAGTGGCAGGGGCAGAAGCCCAGCCTGGGTGCGTCCAGCCCGTGTGCTACAAGCAGCGGAGCAGCTGCGTCGGCCAGGGAGCGGCTTGGACAAGTGGCCCGAGGACGGAGCAGTGGGACCGGGCTGCTCTCTCCTCCCACTCACGCCGCTGCGGGTGCCCTGCTCTAGCATGTCCCCTCTGGTGGGAAGGACGCCCGCCAGCGGCTGTCTGGCTGGCCCCGGGCGTCTCCTCTCCTGCAGCCCCCGGGCCCGCAGGCCCCGGCACACGCGGCCACTTACACCAGCCGGTTCCTGATGGGGAGGAAGTGCTTGGTGAGCTTGATGGCGAAGATGATGCTGGGGATGAGGAAGAAGGTGCAGCAGCCCAGGCTGAACCAGAAGGCGTTCTGGAAGGACACAAACACCCCCCGTGAGTGGCCCCATTGAGCGGGACACGGGGGGAGAAACCGCACCCTGGAAAAGGAGCCGGCCCCTCGGGGATGCTGGAGGAATATGGAAGCAGATTTGCCTGAGAGTCTCTCCACAGTGAGGGGAAACTGAGGCTAGTGAGTGGGCCGCGCGAGTTGCCTCCTTCTCACTGGACCCGGTGGTCGGAACCCAGACGGTCTCCCGGGAGAGGCCAGCGTGGCTCACTGCGCCTGCGCGCCAGAGCAGAGCTGTGATTGGCTGCCGAGGCAGCGCGCGGCTCTCCCGGTGGTTGGGCGTGATCAGCGCCCACCTCACTGCACGGGCCCTGGCTGGTAACACCGGGAGGAGAAACACGGTGCAGCCCGAACCCTCCCACTCTGACAGCCCTGCGCAGGGGCCGGGTGAACTGAACGTCTGGGGCCTCACAGAGACCCCAAGGGCCACCTGGGGCCTACACGGCTCTGACCGTTGCTCCGGGGCCATCGCTGGGCCTGAGGAAGTCAACGGGAGCTGGGACACGTCCCGATGCCCATTCGCTGCTGGCCGGTGGCCACCATCTTCCCCGTAGAGGCTCCGTGGGCCCTGGCTCCGCCTAACTCAAAGGGATCCACTGGCTGGTAGAAGGGGGCCTATCACACACACACACATACACACACACACACACCCTCTCTCTCTCTCTCTCTCTCTCTCTCACACACACAAC